CTGGAGCAAATACGACGTGATGTTGCGGCTCCATGGTATCGGCCTTCAAGGCTTGGAGGAGTAGTCGGAATTGTTCTGCCAGGACTAACTGTGATGGCAAGTATGGCTTTCCGGCTTGTGTCCAAACTTCTTTATTTGGGATTCTAGAATAGTATGAGGCTTTTATACCCAAAACTCTGCGTAGTAGCGTGAAGTACCAGGCATCCAGTTTGGCAAAGTGTTTGGGTTCCATGGTCAGGGTAGCAACACCATAAATTAGCGAGCTGACTATGTTAGCTTGAAAGATGTGTACTTTGATTTTCCTACTTAGATTACTACGCCATAAGTGTTGGAGCTTGTTGAAGGAGGTTTCGGCTATTGAGAATCTGTGATGGAGGGCTGTCAGGGTTGGCTTTTTCCAGGAGACTAACGATCCTAAATATTTGGCTGATTGGTTTGTGATTTAGGATTTAAGGTTTTGGGACCTGGCACACTTCGCGAGCTCTTGAGTCTTAGCACACGCGTCCATCCTTAAGGTCGGGTGTAGGGGGCAATGTAGAAACTAGGGAGATTATCCCTTTATGATCTCTATTCTATATTTCCAGTGACTCCAAATCCGTGCTGTAATATGTTCTAATGCTTAACAGGGGGTTCTACAGTTTTGGGTCTCGGTGTAGCTCCCTCTAAACGCGCAAAGGCAGTGAATGCTAGCACTGGAGCCAATCGTCGGATCCATGCTACACAAAGCTTGAGCACAAAGAGGACGTACATGTAGGTTGGTTGCTACATGAAAATTTCCTGCGCATGCCAAGCTCATACAAAGCCGAGGTGTGAAAACATCGACTTGGCCGAAAAACGAAATGATGAGCATCAGTTGCTGTGGCAGGACCCATGCAGAAAAACATTGCTGACTTTCGGATCGACGGGGGCTTAGCCATTGGGGGTGGCTGTGCGTCGGCCCACAATGGCATTCTGGGCAATGTAGGCAGCCTTCTGCTGCGACCATGAATTTCGCTCAAAATTGCTTTTTTAAGGGGATAGCTTAGCTATTCCTGACAGAAATCATACCCTAAACCCTAAACCCTAAAACCCTAAACCCTAAAACCCTAAACCCCGAAACCAAAGGAGGCTATAGGGGATCTCGAAGGCTTAGGGAGGGATAGGTAACCCGAATACTGGAAAATCAAATGGAAAATTTAGGGTTTAGGGTTCCCTAAACCCTAAACCCTAAACCAGAGCATGGAAATAAAACGGAAACCCTAAACACGCAGGACCTAGACCCCTAAAATTGGGTTTAGGGTTTAGGGCCCTTTTTTATGATCTGACTTTATGCCACGTATCTTACATATACAAATAAGGTTCACCAAGTACTCTATAAAATGTCTAGATAACCCCATTGCCTGGACAATGGCAGACGTCAGACCAGCAGCTGTCTGGAGGCCAGTCACCTTGAAATTTGGTGGTCAAAGTTTTAAGTTCTAGGGGTTAGGGTTCACCATGGTACCCTTAATAAACGCTAGCTTCCCTTAAATAATCCCCTAATTACGGGGGAATCTAGGGGGTACTTGGGGAACCAATGATAAAGGCGGCACCCAGCGAGATGATGCCCTGCTGATACCCCCCAAAAAAAGAGATGTCAAGGACATATGGGGCTTGCAAAATGGATTTGGGATCTTTTCCTATTGCGGTAGGATGAATAAAGGGGAGATTTCCATAGGCACCCCCCCGTGGTTCTCTTAAAGGGCATGACATCTTGCTCTGGGTTCAGTATTGACGCAGGTACCACATACGAACAGATGGGAATGAATGAGGCTGGCGCTCGGAAGCTTCTGCATGCCATTGGCCTAAATGGAAGCTCAAGTGAGTAGTGGTTTCTTGGTGATTGAACCAGGTACGTTTATCATTTATGTTACTGTCATTATGATGTAAAATACTACAACCCTCAACAGAGGCGATACTCGTTCTTTCCAAGATCAAATCCCGCTCTTCGGATCCTGCAGGCTATCAGATGTTAGAGTTGACTTTGGGGTCCCCATGATCATGCCCTCCACTAATCTACAGACATGACTGATTTTCAGCCGCTCTAGCTACGTTTCTTGCATCGTCGCAGACCGTGCAGTAAGTGGATGTTTCTGACAGGAGCCATTAGCCCAATACTGCAGAAATAACATGCGAAAACGTAGGCTCTTAGATTTTACGTGATTTATCGGTGTGGTTTATGGTTGTTAGGGTCCCATTATTGGTGTTACCTGACCGCGCTGTAATTATTTTGGAACCTGCAAGATATACGTCATAAGTATATAATCAAACTTGTCAAGCTAATGTGAGTAAAGCAATTACCAGATCAAAGGTTGTACCAGCTTCACTGACTAGATTGGGGGACCCGAATCTGAACAGAAATTCATATACTTAGTCTTCTTCAATTTGATAAGGGGGCAGGGGCCTGAAACGATAAAACCAACTTACTACAAATTACGTAAGCTATCAATTGAACGAGACTGCCAGGATGGCGTAACGTGATTTCTCTAGTTCATGAATCAAATAAGTCAAATCAATCCCGTTATTGTATAAATTACTTTAGCTTGGACTCAATCAAACTGACATATTGTTTACATTACCCTCGCTAGTTTAGTTAAGGGTCTGAGCCTGAATCTATATAACTCCAATATACTATAGTAGTTTCCATTTTCTTTTCCATTATCCCCATTATTGGGAATATAACCCCTATATACCTATACTATAGTAGTTTTTTTCTATTCTGACGTTCGCGTCCTAAGGTTCCTTTGATCGTTTCGGATGGATCAAGCTATGGGGTCCAATCATCTCATTCAGTTTGCCTTTTTCCTTTAGCTTTATCAAGTTGATTAAACAGACGTGGGGGGCCTGAGTCTGAATGAAGGTCGTTAAATTCTTCTAATTGCTTGATTTTGTCTGATTGGGCCTGAGCCTGAAGCAAATTATTTCAATCTAGTTAACGCAGCTCGTCTATTTGGCAAAGTGAAAAAGACGGCCCAGATCTTTTAATTCGATGAATCAAGGGGTCAAGTTAATCCACATATCTATCTAGCTCCATTAGTAAGGAGATTGGGGGCCTAAATCCAAGCAAATCTAAGTACCCTACCCTTTCAACTTGTCGATTGCTGAGATTGGTGGGCTTGAGCCTGAATCCGCTTAACCTAATCACTCCCAATGATTTACTTCACCAGATGAAGGTGACGGCCAGGACCCCAAAAATCTTGATTAACAAGATGAACCCAAATCAGCTTAACTCATCTGCTTACTAGGCGCAAGTATATTTGGAGGAATCAGCCCGCTTGCACTGAATCTCTGCGATCAAACTCTTACATTAAGTTAGATTAGGGATCCGGAGCTGAATTCAAACTATCTGGACGTCTGTTTAAACTTCATGAGCCGGAATCTCGTCAAACGAGTGGTTTGCATATTCAGGTTCAAGTGGTGAAGATTCTACAGAATACGCGCCTGCAACCCACAGCTGATCCCATAGAAGTCCCAAGACCCTAGACTGGTTCCTTCTAAAGGCATCATAAAGCCTTGGAATTTGATGTTTGTTATTGGGCTGTAAAACGTGAAGCCCTTACAAGCATCCATCAATGATCCGGTAAGCCCTACCAGTGAAGGCCACTCTAGGGCTTTCCACGGGGCCACTCTTAGGCAAGCCACCTCCGCGACTACAGCACCTTGCGCCAAGATGAGATGCACACTTCCAACATGAAGACAGGGTTTAGGGCTGTGGGGCCTTGGGGTTGTTAGCGTTTGGAGCTTAGGGTGGGGCACGCAGCCCTAGGTTCCGAAGAGACAGCATGGGTTGAAACAGGAGGCAGTGTCCTGCACTGTTTCCAGGGTGCAGGTGCTGCATCTTCGGGACAGAGGTAGAAACGGTTGCTAGATAAAGCCGTCGAGCTCATGTGTTGGACGTCAAGGCTTGCGGCCGATTCCAATCCCTAAGGACTTCACGACGTGGCTCCCATAACGGCGCGGCTTAAGCTAGTCTCGACGGATGGAACGCTACGTTGCTTGTTGTCAAAGCAATGCCAACCCGCAGCCACGGACCTAAGCGCAAGAAACAGAATAGAGTCTCGACCCCCGGCTCAGAAACCCAAAGCCTTAACCCCCAAAAGCTCTACACTAAACTTTTGCACGCGAGAAAACACACCTCAACCCTGAGTCAGGGAACCCTAAACCCTGAACCCTAAATCCTGAACCCTGACCCCTAAACCCCGACCGCTAAACCCTGAACCCTAAACCCTGACCCCTAAACCCTAAACCCTGACCCCTAAACCATGAACCCTAAACCCTAAAGCCTAAACCCTGACCCCTAA